TGTGTGTGTTTGAGATGTCAGTGACCGCTGTTTCAATGTATGTGTGCTCACCTGTGTGTGTTAGCAGGTGGAAAGGAGGGCCATCATGCTGTCCCACAGCAGCGATAAAGAAAACACTCGACAGCGTCTGGTGAGTGGCGCCAAGGGCCAGAGCTCTGCCTCCTTGTTGAACTGGAACAGGAAGAAGAAGCGGGATGGCAGCGGGGTCACCAAGAGACTAGGAAGCACTTTCAGTCTGTCGTTTGGAAGCATCCGAGACAGCGAGGCCATGTACTGAGACAGGACTGCAGAGGAACCACTCAGGGAATCACAGCAGTGGAGCACACGGTACGATCAGGGCCGCATTCAGACAGTAACACCAGCAGGGGGCGCTGCTGCAAAGAGCTCCAACAAAAAGCACAAGTTCAGTCCAGTGATGTACGCCAGCACAGTCCAATGTATCCGACAACTTTGTTGGTCAATCAAATACGTGGAAGCACACATACCAGGTAGAACACCTTGTAGCATGTAGCTTGTTGCTAATTTTTACATTTCAAAAGTGAAGATGGAGGATGTTACCATTGCTGCCATGCCACCATTTCCAGAGTTGAACAGTCCTGCCTCAGAGGAGCGCACTGTGGAGTCTAAAGGTGTGTAGAGCCAGAACACAAGGAAAATCTTGGAAGGCGATTGCTCATAAACTTAATGGAAAGATGTGAGTAGGTGTGAATTAAGGAATGGTCGAGTACTTACATACAGAGTACTTGGATTAAAAACAAACAAATGAATTATCCTTAAAAGCAAAAAGGATAGTATCCAAAATAAACAGCCAAGCGAAAATGTGGGTGGGGTTATGGTTTTCCTAGCTCTCTGCGATGCACAGACCTTAGAGATTCACCACATTGGTAGCTTGTTCTCTGGCTCAACAAACACCATCCGCCCGCAGAAGCTTTCTCCTCCACAAAGGTTGTCTGGATCTCCACTCACCATCTTTGTGATCATGTGGCTGATCTTCTCTGAGCTGGTGGCGTCACAACGGCATGTGCTAACGCTGCTAGCACCGCTGTGTTCTCATTGTGCTTAGTTAATCCTCAAACTAGCTGTTTCTATAATACGCAAGTTTAATGTTACATAGCTTGCA